AACCTTGGAATGACCTTGGCAGGGGTCGGGAGTCAGGGGGTCCAATCCTAGTTGGAGGCAAACCCAACTCATTATGCTGCAGTTCCACCCCAAGCCTTTTTGAGGTCCCATGATTCTTACGGCAATCCAACAAAACATCAACTCAAGAAGAACAGATAGCCAGTGTGAAAAGGGACCAATTCGTCTTTTCCCTGCGGTTTTGCATGTTTGGCCTTTCTTGCCTTGACGCCGGTAGCTTTTGTATGCCATTGCTTGCTAAGGCAAACCTTTTGCTTGGCTGCCCTACTGTTTTTCCAGCATTTCCGTTGGTGCCAAACTTGGCTGGACCAATATGCTGTACCAAAACAGCCCAACAAATTCTCACTGCTTGCTGTTGGGGAAAAAAATCCGGCCGGGGACGAAGCCGCCTTTTGCACAGGTTGAGCAGAGCCTTTTCATCGAAGGTCTCCAACGCTCCGAGCCTTTTGGATCAATCGTTCGGAGGGGAAAAAAGCCGCCGGGATATAGAGCTCATCCTTTTCTTTCAGAGGGATGGACGACATCCTGCACCACTTTGACACCATAGAAAGCAATGGTTTGTTGGTTTTTAGGGGAATCGTCATTCCAGAGTTTCTGAACGGTGGTGCATGGATTTCGTCCAACAGTGTGAGGGCTGTGAGGGGCTCAAACATGACTCATACTGTGGGTGGATGAAATCCTGCACCACGTTGAAACCCTGCAAAACCATTGTTTGTTGGTATTTACAAAGGAAACATCATGCCAGGGTTTCTTAGGTGGTGCAGGATTTTGTCCATCCACAGTAGTTTGCTCCTGTCCTGAAAACATGTCTCCAAACTGAGTTCATTTTTTGGAACCCCCTTCGATTCATCTTTGTGGTATACTTTTGCTTACCTCAGTCGAAAGGCACACCAAAAGGAAGCACCACATTTTGTAGCCTCCGTATTTTAACACGCCCATATTTCAGACCACTGGACATTTTGCGCATGTGTCAAACACCCACCAGAAAAATGCATCAACAAAGTATCTTAAATGTTCTATAGACACATGAAGAAATAAGTGCAGAATTAAATGTATAAATAAGCAGGAAGTAACTACATATTACATTTTCATTTGGCCACAACCAGGAGTAATACTTACATTACCAGCATTTGTTCTACCCTCATAACATAAATAGCATGAAATTAATCAACATAAACCAAAACATGAAATGATGTTTTCTTGGCTTCCCCGGGTCAGGCAGAAGCTTTGGGTGCTAGTCAGACACCTGGTGTGTGCGACCTACCATTTGGGGGGGTCCCTAAAACAGGGCTCCTTAAAAGATCTCCATTTTGCCCATCCATTTGAAACATGCGGCTTTTTTTTGAGCACCAAAGTAAAGGGAAGGACACCACAATTTACAAGTTGCAATGTTCAGGTGTACAATGCATCCGGATCCCTGCTTTCATGAAATCATGGGGCCTTTGACACACGGAATGCCACGCAAACGGAAGTGAAGTTTGGCCGATGGGGTCCCGGTCAAGCCCTAAGTTGTTCGTGCTTTGTGCCTTGAAAGAGCGGTCGCAGGATATGCGAATGTTGTTGGTTGTCCTCTTTTTGTTCTTCGCACACACGTGGTTTGGACAAGCAACACTTTTTGTTGTGCAAACGCGTGGTTTGGACCAGCAAAATCCCAACCGAAAACTGGATGTGGCCAAAGACCATTTCGCCCATGAAGGATTCTTGTTTCTTTTGAGGTGCTTGCTGGACCTCAGCCACACCCATGTGTGAATGCCCCCAATTCTTAGCCACTGGTGTTCTTTTTGGTTGTTTTGCTAGAAAAATAGATGGCGATTCCTGGTTTACCTGGTGGTTTTTCTCATCTACCAGGGAAACCCATCTATGTCCCTTGAAAGGACACCCCATGTTCTTAGCCATTCTTAGAGTTGGTTTCTTCTAATTCTTAAGGTTTCCCCGAATTCTTAGCCATTGATAGAGTTGTTTCCTCCAAATCCTAAGTTGTTTCCTCCAAATTCTAAGGGTTCCCCCCAATTCTTAGCTTCTTAGAGTTGGTTCCTTCTAAAAATCGCTTTGCCTTGTGCTCTCGATGCATCTCTGAGGTGGCAGCTGTTCAATGCATCTCGCGCGGTCGCCCAAATCGGAGCAGTCCGCGCCCTTCGGCCACCGTTTCAGACAGCCTTAGCCTGGCTCTGGTGGAAGGGAACTATCAATCTTGACTGCTATTGGCTAACGGATCTTTAAACTTTAACCTTTTTTTGGAAATCAAGGGTTTTTTTGCTAAACCCCCCAAAAAGTTAACCTTTTTGCAGGGGGGCAAGAGCAACCAAGCAATGAAGTTCGGGCTTTCATGATTTGATTTGCCCAAGTTAGACCTAAATCAAGGAGTTTTTTTGGGAAGTCAGCGACCCCCTGGGTATTCGCGTCCCCGAGGAAGCAACATGTGGGTTGATGTGTTTAAACGATCGTTCGACTGCGGGGGAAGGATGGGGGAGTTGCCACAACTCGACCTCTATGGTAATTAATGTTAACTTTACATAAATTGTTGAGGACCCTACGAGGATAGGGCTTGATCCATTCCAAGTGGTGCAGACTTTTCCCTAGACTAGTTCATTTTCTTAAAAGAAGACCCACCCAAATAATTCCGAATACGGCATTTAACGCGATGGGAAGGCCACCTCTACTTGGGGTTAACAGGGATGGTCATCCACCTGCTAGTAAGGAACCGCAACAACCATTACAATGATTGATGGCAACTAGTTGTGACCAAACTCATTGACTCCAAAGGGTGTGCGGCCATTTGACACCGTCTTTCGTTTGGAGGGCACATTCTTGGTGGCTCCCAGCCATCCGGTTCCTTGGCTTTTCATCTTTTTAGTTGGTTTAGTGGTAGTTTCCAAAAAGAAGCCACAAGTGTCCAACAAAAGCCACAAAAAAACCACAAGTTTATTTAGTGATAGTTTCCAAACGAAAGCCACAAGTTAAGCCTTGAGCAGGGGGATCTGAGGGCAGCCCAGTTGTGGTAGCTGAGGGACACCAAAGGGAAGCTACTCGGATGGAACCGTCTCCATTGAGGCCTGCGACGGAAAGGCCTAGACCCCATCTCCAGCACGGACGCCCTGAGTCGACGCAGGTCGAGCGCTGGTTTTTTGGGCTGCGCTTGACGTGGGGGTATCTTTTTTCAGGGTCCGGGGCCCTGCTTTGTGGGTTTGCAGGGAAACTCAAAGGAATCCACCCATTTTGAGGGGTCCCCTAAGATAAAACAGTCCCATATGGGGGCATCCTGTGAAGGTTGGACTCCCCAAAATGGATTTTGGCTGTCCATTGGGTACCCTCAAGCAACAGACGGACCCATTTGCCTTTGTTCTTGTATTCACGGGTTGTTCCTTGCATAGGTGTTTTATTGGGTTCATAGGTTGTTTTTATTGTAGTAATATATGCGTGTTTTCTTTTATGCGACAAAAAAGATTCGTGAACCCCACTTGGGCTACAGAGACTTGCTGGTTACCTGCTGCAGAGGAAACTGGCAGCCCTGGTGCGTTCGACGTGCTTGTGTTGAACTAAGCATGGTTAACTGCCCGCGTCAGTTGAGGTGGTGGACATTCCCAATCTGCTGCGGAAAGCCGCCCTGTTGATTCTTTGGTTTGGGTCGACCCCTCTAGTACCCGGCCTGGCTCAGCTGTTCAGGATTCTGTTTGCCTTTGCCCTTGCGATTGGTGGGTGTTTTAGAAAAGACATCGAGGTCAAACAGGGTTCCAATTCATTTTGCGCCAGGGTCACTTAGCGACTGGCTTGAAGTCGTACTGGGTCCGTGAAAGGTTCGAACAAAAATGGGTGCTCAAAAACAATCCCCACACGCCTAAGAATGGCACGGGGGAGGACCTTGGAATGTAACACGCAAATTGACTCGAACAAAAGGGTCTCCCAAAATGAGTTCAGAAAAATATGTTGTCCACGCCAATGGGCACAGTGCTCTAAAGGCTCGAGCGTTTCTGGTGATCAAGCCTTACGTTCACGACCTGTGTCAAGCTTCGACGTCCAAGATGGCTAAGATCATGGCGTGTTGGGCGAATTGAGCGGCGTTGCCGGCTTGAATGTGCGACCATCTCTATACCAGTCACTTCCTTCCTGAGCAATTTACCGTGTGTTTGATCTTTTCACGTTTAGTGTCATCCGGTTTGAAGCGGTGTAGGCAACCCAGAGGCTCAGTGGTTTGATCCAAGGCAGCTGCTGCTTTTGTGCAGCCCTTTGGATGCCACCGATTGACCCCGGCTATCCCTAGGGGCTGCAGATTGATCTCCTCATAGCCGTGGTCGAAACTCTCCTTTACTTGGGTTTACGTTGGATGGTCATGGAACATGTAGGGATTTTAGACCACCATGGTAGAGGTCCCGAGCAAGGGTGACTATGGCCCACGTAGACGCCCCAATTTGGCTATAGTATTAATTTTCATAGGGAGCACCCTCCAGAAATGGTTGGGCATGAATCTCTATGTAATTGGTCTCCACAAAAAGGTCCCCGATGCGAATTCATACCCAAATCGCGATTATTCGGTGGCCCCCTTTTGGCCTTTTTGTTTGGTGGGTTCCAACAAGTCAACACCAAGGGTTCCCTGGACCGCGAAACGGTGTGTGTTTTGCAAGGGCATCCTTTGCAAGGTTTGCTTAAAGTGAAACCAGTAGGAAAGCCTCCCAAACGAGGTCCTGCTGTGACGTATGCGGGGTTGTCCAAATTCGGGGCGCTTTTTTGTGGTATCCCCCTTTGCGCTTTTGGCGGCACTCTTGCTCCAAACAGCGGCCATAGTCTTGACTTTTGACCACTCCCTCAAACTACCCGTTAACATGGGGTTATCGCCCCACAAGCTACACCCTACAGGCGCATTCCTACTCATTTCTAGAGGTCCAGGCACCCTTCAAGATTTTACCCTTGTTTGCCCGCCCAAAAAAAACAATAATTCAATAACATGCCCATGTTCAAAGGTTCAGGGAAAGAACCTGGGCGGGCGCCCTTAATCAAGAAAAGGCGCCGCGCGTCTCCGTCTCCCGCAGCTTTTGTACCCTGCCCTTTGCGGAGTCCTAGGGCCAGTGTAATTCGCCTCCGCCATGGAGGCGTCACAGGCGGGGAAATGCACCAGGTGCATGGCATGGATGCTGAACATCAAGTACTTGGACACCGACAAACAGGCGCGCCTTCGATGCGAGCCTTCGAGCCTAGCCTTCGACTGGACCGGATGCGGATGCGATGGATGGATCTTCCCTTCGGCTGAAATGAAGATTTGTTTCTTCTTTTTTGTTGGTTTTGAAGGGAATCGATCGCACTACCAGACACATTCTTAGTCTTCCCAGGGGACTTAATCAAATGGGGGGGTTGCTTTGAGCCGGCTGAGTGAAGAGGCGCCCATCATGCGGAATGTGAATGAAAGCGACCCCCATCCCTCCCACAGACACGCGCGACTGGGCCACACATGCAAGGGGGTGGGAGTGGCCCTTTGTTGTGGCAACCCCTCATTTGTTGGTGGGTTCAACTGGAAACACAAAAGGAACATCGAAATCCATTTTGTGGGGGTCCCCTAAGAAAAGACAGACCCGCAAAGTCTTGCAGTGACTGGGTCAATGAAAGCACCCCCTTAAATGATGCACATGCAAAGGCATGCAAGCCGCCGGTATTGCTGTACCCCAGGATGTCACTCTTAGTACATGGTCAAAATGAGACTCTAAATGGTGCTTTGAGGAAAACAACACCTGAACATTGTTGAGCAAAGCAAGTACAAACCATGCAAGCCCTTTTGATTCATCATGGATTTGGGAAGGCTCCCTTAATACCAGGTTTTCATCGAGGCTCAAAAGCGCTTTCGGAGTTTCCTTGACAAGCTCACTCAAGGGAGACCTACGTAGATACGGCCCTAATGTTGATATCAATCCAGAAAGAAAAACAAAAGGGGATTGGGCAGATATTGCTCTTGTTTTACCCATACCCTCCATTCGCAGTCCTCCCCATTTGGTGTTTGGTCATCCCTTTCTTTCTGAGCATAAGGGACATAGTGCCAACAACCAGGCGTCCCTATGCCTCCCCTTGGGTGTTGGCCCGGGGTGGAATGGGTGTGTTTGTTTCTGCGGAGAAACCGTTTGCCGGTTGTTTCAAACGGGAAAACCAAAAAGAGTCAAATCATTGTAGGGGGTCCCATTTTTAGACGCCCCAATATAGGGAGGCCTATCCACTTTCACTCCGATCCCTGCGCGTGACAACTTTCAGCTTCCCCCAAATTCTTGGTTTGGTGGCTGGAGGGATTGAACCCGGGTTGTGGGGTTGAACTGGGAATCCGAGCCACGTCACCACAAATCGGGTGTGTGCCTTTGAGGCACCCTGTGGGGGTCTTTCAAGGGACGGGAAAACCATTCTGGGCTGTTTGAAAGGCTTCTGGGCAAAAGTGTAGCCGTAGGTGTGCACTTGACTTAACTCATAGTAAGGGTTCACTTGAGAAGCATTTTTCCTTACCGGAGCCACTTGCTCAAAACCGATGCGGGTAAATCCGGTTAGTACGGGCCAATTCTCTTGCCACAAAAAGCTGCGGGTGTCCACCTGAATTCTTGAGGCATGGTTCTGGGATTACGACCATTCTAGTACCGGGTGTTGAGCAAGTGGCTCACCTGAACTTACGACAGTGGCCTGAGCTTTGCAGTGTATTTTTTTCAATAGGGGAGTATGTCTTGGGATTGGCCAACACTGCAATTTTTCGAAGAGCCCAGCCATTTCAGGGATCCCTACGGGGGGGTGTCGGCCAACTTAATAAGTTGCTGGTGACCTATTACCCACTCATATTTGTCCCCGTGGAATTCGCCCTCGCGGGTTGGCGAACCAGAGCTGAACTTCCAACTAGTTGAGCACTCAAAGGGTCGCGCAAAGGGTTGGGTTCCAGGAAATTCAACAGGAACACCTCCGTTTGGGTGGAGCCATGTCTTGACTAGGTTCTCCAGTGCCCGTTCTCACCCCTTTTTGCGGGGAGGGTGCCCCTACTAAAATAGACCACAGAAAAACACGTACCCTTATTCTGACCTCTCTACTGGAGGAAGTATATTTTCCCGCCAAACCTTTTCAAACACGCCCAAAACAAAGGCCATTTCGTTTCGGAGTTTCGGACGCGAGGCGGGCGACAGCTTGAAGGCGTCGGAGAACGAGATCCTGAACCGTGGCCAGCCAGCTCGAGTGTCCTGCCGTGCCTTTGAAGCAACGAAGCAACGCCACATCTTCCGTCAAAGCCAAGGCTTTGGGTCTTTATGGCGAATGTTGACCCCGTAGAAACACAAAGTCCAGTTTATGAATAGGGGGTACTTGTTCATTTTTTGGGTTTCGTGGGGATTCATAGGGGGGTGCTTCTTCATTTTTGGGGTTTAGTGGGGGATTCAGACCACTGTTTGGTCATCAGGGGTCCCGACGTTTCCGATCGTTGGTTTTAACCCAAGGATTCGCCCATGTTTTTTGGTTTCCCAAAGTTTCTCAGAGTAATTTCCGGTTTCAATTCAGTGGGTGTTCGGTTCGAGTTGGTAAGTTGTTGGCAACCTAGGTTGTAACGCACTCATAACCTTCTGTGGGGTTGACCCAGTCACCGGAGTTATATCCCATTCCCGAACCACGTACTAACTTGGCCGAACATCCAAGTATGGCTATTTGGCAACGGATCTTTGGACTGAACAGCTTGTTTGGTAGAAATACTTGGATTTTCCATTGGACAGCTGGGATTCTCCGTATGGACCCACAACTAGTTGAGCACGTGTTGCAGAGTAGTCGTTGCAGGAACCGAGTTGTGGGAACGCGACCGGATTTTCGTCCCGACAAGCAATGTGCCATGGCTACCCTCCTGTTCACTCCTGACCCATCGTAAAGGAGAGTCTTCCAGGACCCAGTCAGGTTCCGTGGCAAGAGAGGGTCCACGTTTTCAGGAACATCGTCGCTTGCGGGAAGCGTCTTTCAGCTTTGAGTCCGACTGGTTCGTGTCTTCAAAAGAAATCGGCGCCAAGACCTCGATCCATCGGCGCCAATTTGGGGTGCTCGCACTCGGTTTTTCGGACTCTTTGAGGTCCGGGTTGGGCTTGGGAAAGTGGCGGTCGTCCGGACGACTTGTTTGCAGCTCGCTTGGGCCTTGCTTGTTTCCCTGGTTCTTGGGAAACCTCTCTGTTGTCAAGAAACGGGGGGGACTCTATAGCCTTGATGCTGGATTTATTTGCTTGTTGTCAATGTGCTTTCTAGAAAGATTTGAAATTCGGAACATTCCGGAACTGCTTTTTGAACACCCTGCAATCGCCAGCGTTCCGGCATGAATTCTATGTTGCGAAAGTACTGTTTCTGGGGATGTCATCGATTCTTGAACTCATACTGTATGTTCCAAGGAAAAATCAAAGTACTTTCCTGCCCTTCCTGCCTTTGCCGCTTCCAGTGCGTTCCATGCGGTTTCCGGCTGGCTGTGGCTAAGCCCCGACATGGTTCGACATCACACATTCCCGTAGGGGGCAGTCCTGTCTACTTTGGGGCCCCTTACTTAGAGGAGTGAGGCTTTGTGGGACGCATGTTTGTGCCGAAGAGCTTGATTGCACTCGTCTTGGATACTGGAGCAAAGAATTGGTAGAGTCAATGAAGTCGATCAAGCCAACAACAAGTTTTGGCCAGCTGTAAAATCTGCATAAGGAAAGTTGTCTCTCGTGTCTTCAAATTTGGTTCAACCCATCGCTGCCTCATCTTTGCCTGCTCGGTCGTTCGCCTGCACCGCCTCGGAGTCTTGGGTTTGGTCTCACTGAGGCCGACTGCTGCATGCTTTTGCCAAGCTCTTTTTCCCCTACTTCACGGATCGACGCACTCGGGTCAAAGCGTCCCTCCTTTTGCTCTGCGTCTGTGGCTTGACCTACTTGGAGGTGCAAAACAGTGCCTTGCCGGCACTGAGTACCGTCGAGCGTGCAGAAAGCACCCCCCAGAACAGGGAAATGGCAACCATAAAGGAATTTGCCCCTTTTTGAGTGTTCCCCTACTTTGAGACAAGCCCAATTCTAGAAGCAATGTAGCGGAAGAGTATGCCGCTAGGCGACGGCTCGTTTTGGACCTGAGTTTCAACGAGAACGACTGAGTCTTTGTCAGAGTAGTCAGGGTTCTAGCAAATGGAGCCCTTTCTTCTCGTTTTGTAGGGAGTGTCCTGTTAAGTAACAGAAGAAGATTCCGCACAAAGGTTGCTCAGCCAAGACAACCACCCGCATATGTGTAGCCCTTCAACCATAGGCACTGGACTTGCTTTTGAATCGAGGGCACTCAAGGCAGTGTTGGTGCCCTAAGTGACCCCTTGATTCATTGACCTTTGATTCGGGATCCTGTTGAAATAAAACAGCCCGTGTCGATGTGACTGATGCATTTGATTCGGGCCGACCCGGAATGGCCCGAACATGGCGCTTTGGGGTGTCATAGCGTGTCATTTGAGTGTCAGTCTGGGTGCGAATTGAGATCACTTACCCCTTGAAAAGGTCACTTCTGCTAACGTCTGTCCCCCCCACTTCACGTGTCGCTGCGACTCGATTTGCCCAGACTGGAGAGGGATCTTTGTTTAAATGGCTTATAGACCTCTTTGATTTAGGACTAAGTGACCTTGTGTTCAAAATGGATCATGGCACCCAAACAAAAACCGTCGAGGGCACTGAAAAGAAGCTGGCACGTCAACTTTCAAGTAAGCGCAGGTGATCTCCCGAACAGTCCCGGAACCAGAGTTTCCTCCGGAGCCCTCCCTGAAAGCTGCCCCAAACCACCCGGAACCAGTCTTTGTGGAGAGCTGAGCATTACCCAGTTTGGGAAGCCTTTTCCACAGTAGACACGCATATGTTATGTCAATGTGTGTTTTATTTTCTTTCTTTTCTTGTTGTTTTTTCTGAGGGTCCTGCAAGGTTGGATTTGAATGGAAGCCAACCAGCAAACCAACCATGTTTGGGATCCCCTAAAAAAGCAGGTATGTTTGCTCCGCGATAGGAAGTTGTTCATCGGGGTATCGGCTTTAAATTGAAGACAGGCAACCTGACCCCCCCCCCCCCCGGCAAATGTTCTTGGAAGTCTCGGAAGCCCTTCGAAGTTGGAAGTCTAGGAAGGTTCTAAGAACCTTACCTTTCCTTGGATCGTTTGACAACTATTTGGCATTGGATTGCCTGCTTATGTGTTTTTTTCCTCCAGATGCTTGTTGTCAGCCTCTTGCTGCTTGGTGGGCTATCAACCAACACCCTGCTCACCAATTGAGTAGCAGAAAAGCACAAACTCTACTTCCAGGATTTACGCATGCACATGTTCTTAGGGACTGGCATTTGCCAAGAAATGTTGGGCACCAGACATGGTTGTTTCTCAGAATGGGCCCCTGTGTGGTTGGCATTTCAGGGAAACTAGCAGCAAGCAGCCAGTTTCGATTCTTGTTTGAGAATCGCCGACTTTTAGCGACAAGAATCCCAAAGATTTGGAGGTATGCCGAATCCCAAACAGTCCAAAGGACAACCCTGTAAAAAGCATTTTAATACGGTTCAGATTCTGAAAAAAACAACATGTACCTATTACTGACCTGTTTCTCCAACACAAAATGTTTGTTGACTTTGTGCTCCAAGAGCACCAGCACAGGTGTCCTTTTTAGTTTGGTTAAAGATAGATGGCACTGGTTTAGGTGGTTTATTCCATCTGCCAGGGACATCTATTTTTCCAAAAGGCCACCTATGAGCAAGTTCCAGCCTTTCCTGGCCAGTCAGCTCAGATTATCTTACCTCTTAAAAACACAACTTTTCAACTTTTTGGGTAACATGGGCTATAATATATGTCTGTAAAATATTAACTTCCCCAGGGCTTGGAGTTTTAAGGGGTACGTTATACAGCATAAGTTTGTGTTGACAGAATAAGGTAGCCTCTGTTCAATCACGGAGGACATGGCACCAGAGTCTGCCAAGAACCTAACGTGCACTTCCACGATTGCTGAAACAGGGAAGTTGTCATTTTGGTTTGTGCTTAAATAGGCCGATCTGGTTTTGCTTTGGTGTTCCCTTTGAACAAAGGTGGCAAGGGTACCCGCGAAAAAAGATGCGCTCGCGCATTTGGGGGTTTCGTTTCTGGAAGCTTCCCTGTTCTCGGACGTGGTCGGGGAAACCAAAGCCAAATCCACATGCAATGGAACACCAGGGTATGGCTCAAAATTACAAAGCTAGGGGTTACGCGGGTTTTGGTGTTTGGCTCCATGTAGCAAGGTGCCATTTTGGTACCATGTTTTTTGAGCCACAGCCGCCATTTACAGAACAAAAAGCTGTCTTCCAGGACCCCGCCAGCGGATCGGGGGGAATTTCCTTTTTTGGCCATGAACAAATATATATTGCACCTAAGACCGCCAGTGAGAACTCCCCAAGTGTCCCAAGGAGTCCGAATGAAAATCATACCCACGTTGAGCATTCCAACAATTTGGTATCAACTAGTTGTGGCTTCTCGTTAGTCGTGATGCGTTGGAATAGGTATCCCCTGCCTTCTATTGAGCCATTTCGCGTTTTGGGGTTCGAGCACTACTAAGTATGTATATATATATATTGTATCTATACATATATATATATATATACACATGTGTTTCTTGTTGGTTTAAACATCATTCTGTATGGCTAAATTAAACTGGTTATGTGTCAAAACAGGCAACCCCCCAAAAGAGTGGCTTGTTCTTGGTTTCCCCTTACACATCCAACCATGCCAATTTTCAGCAAAACACGGTGTGGATATCGCGCCTCCCATCACTTCCATTGCCCAAGAAGGTGTGCTATTTTCCTCTGTTGGTTTTATTGCGAATGCATCACGACTGGAATCCAGTCGTGTTTTTTTTTTCCCGGGTGACTCACGCAAATGGAACATAGAAGATGTTTGTGGATTTGAAACCTCAGGTCAAGGGGGTTTACCCTCCTAAACCTCCAAACAAACAAACCACGAATCCAAACCGCCAAGAGGGAACCAGAGGTCTATTTAGGGGGACCTCCCTAAAAAGGTGTAAAAGAGAGGAGGGTAAACCCCATTTACCCTCTGCAAAAGCCTGGAGTTCAAATCCACTTGCATCTTCCATTTACTTGGGTCCCCTGCCGAAACCAAAACAGTAGTGATACCTCCATGTGCTTAAGTCACCCGGAAAAACAAGCGACACATGGTGTCCTGAAAAAAGTTGGTACCCTTATTCGAACCTCTCTACCGGAGGATCTAGAATCCAAACGACCCGAGACCAGCACATAGCTCCAGTGCAAGATTCTTTCTGGTGAAAGCCAAAGAGGCAAAAAGGGTACAGGACACCAGAGCAGGCTGAGACCACAGAAGAAAGGGTACCCTTATTCTAACCTCTCTACTGGGAAGCTGAGAAGATCCAAGCCAAGGGATAACTGGGCATGCAGTTAGACGGTCTCCGATGGTTACGCTCACTGAATGGCAACTGGAAGCACTGGGCTGAATATTCTCAAAATGGCGGACCCCAAACACATAGTTCCAGTAGT